GTATGGCGAGGCGGAGAAGGGAGTTCAGGGTCCTCTTTTCCTCCTCTGCGGTCTGAAGGTGGAAAAAAAGGTCAATTAATGGGACACGTGCGGGAATACCATTAAACCGCCATCTGTTCCAGGTCCACTGAAGTGCGTGAATAAGAAATTCGGAGGGGGCTTTGAGGTGAAACGCAGCGCGGACTTATTTAAGTGGACATGACGCTTGCACTCACGATCCCAGCTAAGATGGATGAGAATAGTCGCTCGTGTAACCTTCCGCGGCCACTACCCTGTCCTTCTTCCCTGAGATAGTAGTTTGAATCCCACACTTGCCAACATCGTCCGCACAACAACCACAACTCCTACGCCTTCTAATCTATATTCCCTCGTAGTTTCAGACAACTATGTGCTCCTTCCGTACCAAGAGAACCTTCCTCGGATATGATCGTGGCTTCCATTTTGTTTACTAAATACATATTCGCAACCGATACTATATACATAACCAAGATGGTTAATTTTAGCGATGTTCTTTTGACTCCTAATAGGTTTGTCTATCAAAGATAGTATGAACTGACAAGATAGTGAAGTGGTATAACCTGGTGTAGTACTACGGGAAAAATGTCCATTCGAATGCTCGCACACACCGGTTTGTGACCGTCCGTCAACAGCTGCTGAATGTGCGGTCACTAAAAGTAGTGGATACTTGCCGGTTGTATTAAAACGGTACAGAAACCGTCGTCTGTCTACTGTCTGCTTTATGCACCAGTGGGTATGCGCGCAGGGCAGAACGAGGGGAGGAAAGAACGATGACAACAGCTGTCTCGTGGTGGGTGGCATGCGCGTGAGGGGCACACAGCAGGTGAGGTAATTCATGCACAAAGTTGGGATCGAAATTGGACTTGGCAGTTTAGCATACATGTGCGCACTCTATTCTGATTTAGTGTGTGGACTTGATCATGAGGAAGCCCTTTTAGTAGGGAAAACTGCCTGTTTATTTCAGTATATTTAAGGGTAATATAGGCAGAATTTTGGCGAAATCGGAGGTTGCCTCATATCGAACGAATTTTTTACGCTAATTAACACGACAGAACCGAACCCCTTACTTTTTATGCTTCGTGCTACAGGAAAACAAGAAAGGATTGAAATAGATCGCCTTCAGAACCGGAAAATCCAGTTTTAAGTAAATTAGCATTCGGTGAAGCCAAGAAGCATGGCTTTTCAGAAGCAAGGAACAATTTTTGTTTTTGAAAAAAAAAACATTTTTTCCAACGTCTGAAGTTTTTTTTGTCCCAAAATGCAGCAAAAATGTTTGTGACAAGGCACTTTTATGCACAATATAATTTCCGCTTATGTGCAATTTAGAAACGGAATAAACAGAAGATGGACAATTTTTGAATTTGCAATCATAGAAAAAGGCCTAAAATTAAGCAAATATGGTGAAAATGCTCCAATATAAAGACCAAAGCGAGTGCTTTTATTTCCAGTCAAAATTCTCCACTTTCATGTTGACCTTACCTTGGAAAAAGGTATCACACAGAAGCATTCGTCAGCTGAATACCCAATTAAAGTGATTTTTTAAAGAGGTAACCTTTTATAGAGAGATTTTAAATTGATCTTAAAAATAACAACATCATCATTCTGTGGTGGATGTGGTAGTGGCTCGACAATGGCTTTTTGTATAATTTAGAAATATGGCCCACGTGGCTATCCTCATACGAACTAATGCAAAGAACCATCTCGGACTGTGGGTGTTTGAATGTGTCAAGGTCACTTTTCGCGCGGATCCGGATGAGGATGATGTAATTGTCTGCTAGTCAAGATGACGGTGTTGCTTTCCATTTTCCTCCCGTTACTGCATCGTTCCGTATCGGTATCTCCTTAGCGTCATCCACAATTGCCCACAGCGCAGAACTCCCCACCGGTATCTAACTGATATTCTGTGACCACCCTTCACTCCAAACAGATCGATTGTACAGTCCTTTGGTAATCATTCGTATCGCATCCTTCACCCTTTTTACTGTTTACCAATTCATGTATCTCAAAAGATCTTATTTGTATCCATCTCGTTATTCTTCTACCTCCCTATGTGTATGTGTGCTTGTGGTGACCAAAAAATCCAAACAATCCAAAAAACTCGAAATTTTTGTAAATGCTTATTAAAAATATCCTATTTTAAAGGTTTTGATATAAACAGCGAACATAATGTTCATTTATAGAAGAGTACTTGAAAATACCAAACATTATCGAAAATTGGCCGGCGGACTATCAAAGTAATCGTAATCAAGTACCTGAAATATGTACAAAGAAGTACCACGAAAGTTCTTTTGATATAAAGAAAATGGTATGGTTATGACTTCACGTGACGAGTATAAGTGCATTTATTGGACCGATTCATAGCCATTTTTCACTTCTTCAGAACTTGAGTATTATTTAAAAGAATTGATTTTACTAAACAAACAATTAGTACTTGTGTCTTTCAAGTTACAAATTCGCCAAAGGTTGTTCATTATTATTTCAAAGATTTTGTACGCATGAGTTAGTACCGGTTTGCGAGTGATTATCGATTTTTTTCGAAAATTTCGGCATTTTGCGTAAGTTTCAACCACCTAAATAATTTTCGTTGCATCTACTTCATACGGTACTTTAAGTGTTCACACTAATTCAAGATGGTCGCGGTGGGTGCGCAGTGGCTGATAAGGTTTAAAAGGGTCAGAGGCTCATAAATCGTCAGAGCCAGGCTTAACGAGGGGTGGCCTCGGAGGTCACGGTGAGATTTTCACCGAGGACAACTTACCGCGTGACCTTCGGCTTTTTGGGAGGGTCGAGCTATCCGTTCTCTTAGCAACCACCAAAGCCCGGGCTTTTAGCTGGCCGTGATAACACAGAAGCCCGTCAAACTTAAAAACACGAGGAAATGCATAGAGCAGATTCGATACCAAACCCCCCTCGCTTTCTTTCCATCTCTTAAGGGGACGACCAACTATGCTTTTTGCCCCAAAGTCACGCATCGTCACAGGCAACTGTTCCAATGCTTCCTTTCACTGGCATCCTTCCGAGGCTCGACCTCGCAGCTACTTCGGTGGTCCTTTTCTGGTTAACCGATAACAGCTGCGCCAGTGTCTCCTGTCCTTCGGTATCCTGACGGCCAAGACAATTCCACTGACTAACAGGTGTTCCGCCAAAGCGCGGCGGCCCCCACAATTGACCGCAGCTTATTCACACACACGTGTGTCAAAATAAGCAAGCCTGCCTAAGGGTCACTTGAATACGCCACCCCGCGGCCGATGCAGCAAAGAGCTCTACAGGCGACATCCCGTCGAGCAATTGCAACACACCAATAGCAAACCACTTGGACTCGCTTCACAGTCATGTAAATGCAGCTGTCATCATCATCATCTCTCTCACAACACACACACTCTCGGGCACGACTGGACGCAGTCAACATCCGCCGCGGCTTCGTCAGCGGCCACTGCTGCCTGAGACAGCAATGCAGGGTTCTGTACACAATAAAGCCCCCACTCCGGTAACTCATGCCATTTACCTACCATCTGGAATTCGACCTGATGAGTGTAGTGATACGAATACAACTACTACTTAGACCACTACACTCTCTTCTTGCCCCAGCATACAGCGATAGCAAGACTAAGTCAAACCGGCCGGAGGGGAAGTCGGACTGAAGGTGACATTGAAAAATAATCACTGAAGGTAGGGTGTAGGTGTCAACGTACATTCAGTTTTTGTTGCAGTTCATCCATCTGGGTGATGAATTCATCGTGTTTTTGCGCAAACATGGCGCGCAGCGAGGCATAGGTGGCCGCGTCCTCCTTGAGCACCTTCAGCTCCGAGCGGAGGGAGCGCATAGTATCGGTGACGAGGGTCTTCTCGTTCTCGTACTTCTGCTTCAGATTGGCCAGCGCTGTCTCCGCGGTCGTCTTGTTGGCCTTTAGGACATTGCGCAGGGCAGTCACCTGGTCCCGTTTCAGCATCAGCTTGCCCTTCAGACTCAAAATCTCCGACTGCAGTTCCTGCATGTCCTGCGAGGAGCCATTCTGGGCCTGTGTGGGTGGGTGCACAGAAAAAAGGAGAATATTTAGACACAAAGGTTGCAAAACGGCGGGTAGGAAAGGGGGGGGCATCAGCCACAGTTTGGGTAGCATGATGGGTGAACGCTTGTCCAGGAAACTGGGGCTGTAATCTTCCCAATTTACGCGTGGGACGATCGCACGAAATGCGTGGATTGATTTTCAATCATGCCCAAAACGACGGTTTGGCGCATAGTTGGAAAATTTCCACAGGCAGTTAAAAAGGCAGATAGGAGAAAGTATCAGTTAGTAAAGGCAACAGGCGACGAACTTGCACTACCAAACCCCCAATTAGCCAAGTTAATCCACCTTCTTTTATAGGAAAGCGCAAGCTCAAAGAATCACATTTACAGTAATTTCTGAGTTTTGGCTGAAAAAAACTTAGAGCCTCACTGACAACTTTCTCTGTATTGAGAAAGGGGCCAAACCCCTGCGAACGACCGCTATCAGTGTTTGACAATAAAACCATTATAAGTAACATCAACAGTATATGACGCTATTTTACGAAATATGCTTTTAGTTTACTCAATTGTGAAAAAATCGCGACCTCGGTGGGAGTCGAACCCATACAGAAAGAAAAAAGGAGTATTTAGACAGAAAGGTGGGCAAAACTAGGGTATAAGCCACAGTTTGGGTAGCACGATGGGTGAACGCTAGTCCAGGAAAGTGGGACTGTAATTTGCCCAACTTAAGCGCGGGGCGTTCGCACGAAATGCGCGGGTTAGGAAGATTACGCTCAATTAAGTCCAAAACGGTGGTTTGGCGTAAAGTTGGAAATCTCCCCAGGGAGTTAAAAAGGCAGATAGACGTGAGAATCATTTAGGAACAGCAACAGGCGAAGAAATTGCACTGCCAAGTCCTGAGAATTGGCCAGTTTAATCCATCTTCTTTTAAAGGAAAGCACAAGCGCAAAGAATCACATTTACACTAACTCATGAGTAATGACTTGTGAAAACTGAATAAAGTCCAACCTCAGTGACATCCCTCTCTCTGTACAAAGAAGGGCTCTAAACCCTGCGAACGACCGCCGCCGAGTGCATTCACTAAGACATCACTATCAGTGGTTGGCATTAACACTGACAGTTCCCCCGTCGATTTAGACGATGGGCACCGCGTGCTCCAACAACAAGCCGCAGCAAACGTTGAAACAAGCCTTAGCAGACATAAAGGCAAGCTGGGCAAGCAACACGAAGGCTACAGCAAGCAGGAGCAACACAGAGAACTAGCGCGAACGAAAACAGGAGTTAAAGCAAACTCGCGGGAAACCTGCCCACTCGCTCGCCACTCCCACCTCCGTTTCCGGTGTAAAGACAAAGTC